TTCCAATGACTTGTGATTGATAAATTTCTACTGTACCATCAAAATGACGTAGATTGGATGAAATAAGTTGTTTATTATTTAGAATTTAGAAAATGTCTAAAAAGTAAATATTTTTATTTATCACTGATTGAAAACAATATTGATGCAGTGAACGGTGTTTGTAAATACACCAATAAGTTACAGAAGCCCTCTGTTGCTAAACGGTGTGGTGTGTTGGATACATTAGTGATATATGCTAATACACAACATGGTAGGCCACAAGCTAACTTTTTCAACACCAATTCCCTCTTTTCATCAAAATTCATAAAATAGTCGTATTTATAGTCTGCACTTTCCTTCAGAAGATTGGGACAAAAATAGACAATTTTTTGAGTAAGAACTGAAAATTGAATCAAATTTTGTCTGTCGGCTCCAAAATCCAAGTTCATTTCAAGAAATGTTGAAGAATATAAGAAAAAGTGCCGAAAAATTCGGGCGAGAAAGTCTGGAGGTGAAATAGGCAATTTTTTTGAGTAATAACTGAAAATTTAAAAAAGAATTTGTCTGTCGGCTCCAAAATTCAAGTTCATTTCAAGAAATGTTGAAGAATATAAGAAAAAGTGCCGAAAAATTCGGGCGAGAAAGTCTGGAGGTGAAATAGGCAATTTTTTTGAGTAATAACTGAAAATTTAAAAAAAAAATTGTCTGTCGGCTCCAAAATTCAAGTTCATTTCAAGAAATGTTGAAGAATATAAGAAAAAGTCCAGAATAATTCGAGCGAGAAAGTCTGGAGGTAAAAAGGTTAAGGACAACGTCACACATGATACCCTACGGCCGTTTAACTTCTCCGGTATGATAAGCAAAAATTAAACATATTATAATATTTTTACGACATGTATTGGTCAAATGAATCCTAAACTAGATTTGTGATGTCACTGAAAGCCCAAATATGGGCAATAATCATTTACGCATACCTTCTATTTGTTTCATCTGTACATGGTGCGTATATTTTTTAACGAGATGAACTAATCGTTGTGACGGCAAATCAACATACTGCTCCATCGCATCCACTGCATTGTTGTAAACCTCACTCTGTACCTTCTCAGATGCCACGCCTTTCTTAAGAGCACGCTGGTTACGTTCCCAGTCCAACCGTGTGAACATAATGGCCGAATCCTGCTCGAGACTTGGTAAGTTTGAACCATAACCATCCGGAGGTTGCGGCAGCTGCATTCAATTCACGTTGCAGTTCAGTTATCATATCCTGCATCTCCATCATAACAACAGCATTATGACTAAAAAAAAACAATTAAAAAACATTTCAAACATGGCTATAATTATAATATTACATGTATTATACATCTGTCACCGTAACGCCATAAGTTACAGCGTGCCGTAATTTTGCGATATTTTACGGGGTATTTTCATCCTATCATATTAGGAAATGCGAAATCCAAATATGGAATGATTATGCGTGTAAGTGTCCTCTAATAATAAAAACAAACATGGCTGCCACCAGGGTTTGACTGGACTCCATACAAAGAAGTTCGCTGATTCTGTTCTAAACTTTTTAGATTTCAGCATTCCCATGATGTATCCTTGGTAGGAAAAGATGTATAATAATAAGGTTATTATGAAGATACCTCAAAGTATGCACTCAGACAGTACTCTGCCGCATCAACCTCTGTCTTCGTGCATACTTTGAGGTAACCTCGTAATAACCTTATATTATTTTTATATTGTGCATATATTCGTAGCATATTTACACATGTAACTTTCAAAAGTATGGAGGGTTTGAAAGATTGCAGGATGACATTTTGAGTTTTTCAGAGCATGATTTTTCCATTTTTTTATATCAGATCAGTTCTTTCCTAGATTCACTAATTTGCAATCAAATTTCTAGAAATGTGGGTTTCTCTTGGTATTTCGTGATCATCTCACAATTCATGTGATTTCATCAATTCTCGCGAGATCTTCATCTTATATCACACCCCTTGCTTACCCTTATCTCATAAACCCTCGGTTTACAATATGTTAATTAGTGTCAATTATTCAAGATTTGGAGAAACACTTACCCGGTACTTCAACTGTTCTTCATATTCCTTTTTGTCTCATTTCTTCTCATCTTTACTGTAATGACAAACATAAACACAGGATGCATTAATATAAATACAAAATACTTTTATAAAAAAAAGGTAAATGTATTTTACATGAATAATCATAATATGGAATCCTTAACCAACTCCACACAAGAGGGCGCCATTTTTCTAAGAAAAATGACGAAATTTATTTTGATCAAATTTGAAGGAAAACTGATTCGCTAATTCAGATGTCGCTAATGACTTTATTATAATTTCAAATGGCCGCCAAACGTCTTCTTTTCTCCACCGTACTGACATGATGGATACACATTATTGAAAAGTAAATTAACACAAAAAAATAAACGTACTCATTGTGGTCATTATTTCAATGAAAATAAATAAATAAAAGTGATACTAATATATTATTACGGAAATTAGTAGTAATTAGTAATTTTTGAGTCCCAATATAAAAGGTCAATATTCTGGATGTAACGCAGCAACGATACCGGCTTTTTAAATCGCTGTTGAATCAGTTTTTTTATGATTGCAAACAAAATCAAATTACACTTGACAGTTTTTCTTTGTTTTTATGGAGATGATAACTGCGTATTTGTTTTGATGCGTGACAGACAAGTATTGTGAAAACGGGAAATCAACAATGACAAGAGAGATTCGCTCAATCAACATTTCACTATTACGTCATTTTACCACAATTTGCTAAAATTGCATGTCGCTTTTTCAACATGTTTTACAGTATGTTGTGGGAAGTGGCAAAAGATTTTTTATAAGACACAAATCGGCTAGTTCCATAACAAATTTGAAAACCAATATTCACAAATAATAACTTTTTTTGTCTGTTCAGTTCAACAAAATTGATGATGAAATTTGAAAAAAAGTTCCGAAATATTGTAGAAATATTTTTGGCAGGAAAAACATTAAAGACTATCACAATGAATGTTAAAATGGCAATATTTCAACTTTTTGGCAACTTTTACAGAAATATAGAAAATATAGAAAAAAAAAATATATTCGGTGGATTTCATTTTCACTGAATCATTTTTCAGCGAAAATAGCAAAATTAGTTCCAAGCAAAAATAACGTATTTTACAGTATATCCAAGAAAATTATGTAACAGCAAATTATTAAAATATAACTCTGACACCAGAGGGCGCAGTGCGGGTGCAGTACATTTCAACTTACAGTTTACTGAGTGCATCTTGTAAATCCCTCACTACAAGTTCTGTCATGGAGGACATGTTGCTTTCTTCTCGATGTACAGACTGCGTATCGGCCGCCATTGTTGGCTGTGAATGCTGTGTTGTCAGCGTCTGATTGGTCATTCCACGTGATCCCAGCGACGACACTCGTGGATCCTGTTTTCGAACACACACAACACGTATTGGATAATTAGTCTCTGAATTATCACTATTCGTATCGTTGCCATTAACAACAGATTCAATATTCTGATTACGCTCCGTGCAGACAGATAACTGCAAACTTGGTTTCTGAGTCATTGGTCTCGTCGGCCGATAAAAACTAGACTGACGAGACCAACCAGTTCAGGTCAGTCGCCGGGCAGTTTCAGATAAATTCTTCCTGCCAGGCTGTCTAGCCGGTGCCGTTTTTGCGCGGCCGCCATGAAATGCGCACTTCCATCCAGAGCACACCAACATAACTGAAGATTTCAAAATTAATAATACGAAACTTTGTATCTACGTAAGCCTTCCAGTGTTAAAGCCGTGTAACCATGTTGTGTTCGTTTTGTCGTCTACATGCCGATTATTCTATGTAGTACATATCTAATAACAACATATACTCCTAAAAGACAGTTAGTTTTTATGATGCCCCATTGCGGCCTTTGAGTATGCATACTATAATAGGTGAGGCCATACAAAACAAATGTATTGTTATGCGAATCATCATGGTGTGAATTTTATGTGGTGATTTTTAGAGATTTCTGTGACTTCATTCGATTTGTGACATTTTTATGGGATTATGGGAAAAATATATCATTATATGTTTTGTAATTCTCAAAGCAACACAATTTTTTGTAGTTTTGATAGAAATTGAATTTAGGAGCAGTTTTGTGAATTAAAATTATTTCATTATCAAGGCTTGATCTTTGGAGTTGAGAAAGCTCCCTTTTTCAAGGCCAAAATTTGATAATTAAAAACTGCCTTGATGTATATATGTAGAAATAAAATAGGGTATGTTTGTAATTTTTAGAAGGGCATCAAGGCAAACTTTGAGAACATTTCATGACCTCTAAAGGTCACACATCCTGGTACTTTCGTAGAGATGAAATTCAAAAAAGTTTTCATTTTAATTTATTTTATTGATATTTTATTGATTTCCTAGATTTAACTATCTGTTTTAGCGACTAGAGTAAAATATTAGTGTAAGAAATAGAAATATTTCTGTTAGGAGCACATTAATATGCCACAATTTTGTATGTTTGTGATGATGTCATACCAACGAAAGTACCAGGATGTGTGACCTTTAGTGTTCATGAAAATGGTCTATTTTTAATACCTTTGATTCCTCTACGATGTTCAAGTCATAATTTTTCTCATTTTGGTGCAAAATTGCGCATGTTTTGTTGTATTTCTAGTTTTGTTTTGATAACTCACAGTGACTGCACAAAAAGAACAGTACGGTAATATTGCAGTAAGAGACACTGTTTTACTAACAATATAGCTAACAATGTAACCATTTCTTTCTGTGGCAACACTTTGTGGGATTTATTTTGTTATGTTAGCAAAACAGTGTTTCATATTTCCATATTGTAGTTTCATTTTTTGTTTGCGGTCACAGTCATTCCTTGTTTATTTTAGACCAGATGGAAATGATTTTCATTATCTAAAGGTCTTGATAGAAATTTTTGAAAAAATTGATAAAATTTTATTAAAAGTTTATTTTGTGAAACATAACCAAAAGTTTAATTTGGTGTTTGAACTATTTCACAACCTGCGTTCACGCACAAGGACTTGACATCTTGTAAACAACTTAACCTCTATAAAACACAACAAA